CTTCCTGCCTTTCTAGCTTCTGGAGGTTGCTGGCAATCCTGGCCATTCCTTGGCTTGTAGATGCATCACTCCAGTCTGCTTCCATCTTCACATGACCCGTGCTTCCAAATTTCTGTGTTCTAACAGGGACACCAGTCATATTAGATTTAGGCCCCACCCTAACCCATTATGACCTCAACTTGAATATATCTGCAAAGATCCTATTTCCAGATGAAGTCATAGTCACAACTTCTGGGTTAGATGAATTTCTAGGGGGACACTATTCAACCTGTTACAGTTCTATTGAGGTATAATATACATGCAGTAAAGTTCAGTCTTTTTTGTTGTACAGTTCTGTGAGCTTTGACAAATGCATGCAGTTGTGCAGCTATTATAATCACACTTTAAAATTTCTTTTCTTTTTTCCTTTTAAGTCAATCCCTATATCCACTGCTAGCTCCTGGCAACCACTGATCTGTTTTATGTCTCTGCAGTTTTGCCTTTTCAAGACTGTCACATACATGGACTTGTATATTTTTTAGTCTTTGGAGTCTGGCTTTTTCACTTACTGTAATGCATTTCAAATTCAGTCATGCTGTAAAATGTACCAGTAGTTTCTTCCTATTTATTACTGAGTAGTATTACACTGTATGCATATATCATAGTCTGTTTATCTGTTTACCAGTTGAAGGATATTTGTGTCTCTTTCCAGTTTTTGGCAATTATGGATAAAGCCACTGTAAGCATTCATGCACAGATTTTCATGTGAGGTTGTTTTCATTTCTCGCCTGGGGGTGGGGATTGCTAGGTTGTATGGTAAGTATATATTTAACTTTTTAAGAAATTGCTGAACTGTTTTCCAAAGTGGTTATATGATTTTGTATTCCCACCAGCAATTAATGAAAGTTCCAATTGTTTTGCATCCTTGTCCACACTTGGTATTGTCAGTATTTTTCAAAAGCCGTTCCCATAGGTATATGTTGGTATCTCACTGTTTAATTTGCATTTGCATAATAACTAATGATATTGAGCATCTTTTGTATGCTTATTTTCCAATTGTGTATCTTTGGTGAAGTGTCTATTCTTTTGCTTATTAACAAAAATTTTGTTTTATTATTGATTTTTGATAGTTCTTTATATATAAGTCCTTTATCAGGTATATAAATTATGAGACAAATGAATATTGAAAAAATGGAATGCGCTTTTTGGGAAAGTATTTACAATTGTGAGTTAATGAAGTTAGTTAAAAACCCTAGACTTGGGCTTCCCTGGTGGCGCAGTGGTTGCGAGTCTGCCTGCCGATGCAGGGGACACGGGTTCGTGCACTGGTCCAGGAAGATCCCACATGCCGTGGAGCGGCTGGGCCCGTGAGCCATGGCCACTGAGCCTGTGCGTCCGGAGCCTGTGCTCCGCAACGGGAGAGGCTACAACAGTGAGAGGCCCGCTTACCGCAAAAAAAAAAAAAAAACAAAACCCAGACTTTCACATTATCATTATTTTTGTTGTTGCTATTGTTAAAAAAATAGCCACTTTATAAATGCCTGTTGCCTTTTTTGCAGTTTTGCTAATGATTTTGCAGTTGTCAAAAAACCTGCTTTTGGTTTTATTGATTTCTGTTTCTTGATTTTCAGTTCCATTAATTTCTGTTCTCTATTATTTTTGTCTGTTTGTTTTGGCTTTAATTTGCTCCAGTTATGGATTTGACACCTTTGCTTTAATATAAGTATCTCATACAATAATTTTTCCTTCTAAGCACTGCTTTAGTTGCATTCCACAAATTTTGATATGTGGTGACTTCATTTTCCTTCCATTCAAAATATTTTCTTATTTACTTTGGGACTTCTTCTTTTGACCCACAGATCGAAGAAATTTGTTATTTACTTTCTAAGTGTTTGAAGATAATTTTTCTGTTATTAATTTCCAGTTAAATTCCCTTATGTTCAGAGAGCACATTCTATTTTCTCTACTTTTAAATTGAGCTTCTCAAATATGTAGGTTCATGTGTTTCACCAGATATGAGGTGTATTTATCCATTATTTCTTCAAATATTTTTCTGCCTCACACCCTTCCTTCTGTGACTTCAGTGATATGAATATTAGATCTTTTGTTATTGCCCCACAGCTCCTGCATCAGGCTCTGTTTTTTTTCTCTTCACTGTTCAGAGTGGATGAGTTATGTTGATCTATCTTCAAGTTCACTCTGTTACCTCAAATGCTGGAATTTAGTCCATCCAGTGCATTTAAAATTTTTGGTTATTGAATCTTTGCAGTTCTAAAATTTTCATTTGTTTCCACTTGGTATATTCTGTCTTTGCTGAGACTTTCTCTTTGCATTCCCTTTAAGATTTCATCCTTACTTTTGGAGAATTTTTATAATAGCTCTGTTAAAATCTCTTCTGATTAATTTCAACTTCTCTTTTATTTTGTCATTGATGTTTGTTGATTATCTTTTTCTGTGTGAGTTGAGATTTTCTTTGTTGTTTTTACATTAATTTTGGATTACATTTTAGATGTTCAAATGTTGTGTTGTGAGACTCTGGATCTTGTTTAAATATTGTGGAGAATATTGTTTTTTGGTTTTTTTTTGGTTATTTTTTGTGGTACACGGGCCTCTCACTGTTGTGGCCTCTCCCATTGCGGAGCACAGGCTCTGGATGCGCAGGCTCAGCGGCCATGGCTCACGGGCCCAGCCGCTCTGCGGCACGTGGGATCTTCCTGGACTGGGGTGCGAACCCGTGTCCCCTGCATCGGCAGGTGGACTCTCAACCACTGCGCCACCAGGGAAGCCCTGTTTTTTGTTTTTTTTTAAAGCAGACAAATGATCTGGTTGGGGTCAGACTGCAAGTTCTAATTAGCCACCTTTGGATTGTGGTTGTAATATCAGTTGTTTCCAAAGCCTCTGCCATGCTTGCCACGTGTTTTGAGTGTACACCCTCCAAAGGCTAGCTTGAGACCTGGGCATAGTTTTAGTTTATTTCTCAAAGTGTTTGAAATGCTATTTAGGATCAGATACGGGCAACTGTGGTGCTCAGGAATGGTGAACCTAGTAATTTACATACAACTTCCTGGAGTCATTTTCTTTGTGACTTGCTGGTATTTTCTATTTCCCTGGGCTCACCTTTTTTTTCCTGTACAGTGAAAACTGATGTATTATTTTTCCTGTTCTGCTTCTTCCCACGACTACCCCCATGTCCAAGGCAGTTGAGTTTATGTTGTCTCCTCTTCTTTCAGGTTCCTGCTCTGCACTGGGCAGGAAGTTATTGTGGATGTTGGGAAATAAGTCAAATTTTACAGTCCCTTTTTTCTCAAATATGTACTTGTTTGTAGGACTGGCCCTGTTTTTATATGTCAAGGCAGAGATAAACTTTTTACTGAGATGAATCTTGTAAAATTTCTTATTCTTTTTTTTTAAACATTTTTTAATGTTTTCTGAGAACATTTGTTCTTCATTAGGATGTTACATTCTCTCTCAGGTCAAATTCTTAATGTCTGTATGGTATCACCAATAAAAATGTAATTTATCTCTGCTGGAAATTTGGCAACTGCTAATACTTCACTGTCAATCACTATTAACCTGTTGAATTTTTCTAAATACTCATTCCTAGGCCCCATCGCTAGAGATTCTGATTCAATAGGTATACAGTACAATAAGTAAAGAAGAAAATGATCTACATACTTAATGTCTCCTATTTTAGCACTCCTGTTTCAATACAGGACATTTCCATGGTCTGGGAGATTTCCTTCAGGACAGATAGGTCTGAGAAAGGTTGCTATGCAGTACTCCTTGAAGGTTGTTGACTCAGTGGGTGTCCCAAGGCAGCTAGGTACCATCTGAACAAATAAGGTATCGAGCCGCAGTTGTACTGTCTTGGTCAGGGACCCAGTCCCTCACCATCATCCCAGGCATATTCTTTTCTGGTTCATCTTTCTTAAGGTTGTCCATGAATCGTTGAACATGCCATTTTTCAGCTGGTTATTCCTAAACCACTTCAGCAAGGGGTAGGACATAATACTATTCTGTCATTTTTAACAAATTGGGTTTAATGACAAAAATTAAATTTTTTAAATTTTTTAAATTGAGGTATAGCATACATTCAGTAAAGTGCTTCAGGTGTACCAGTCTTAAGTGTAAAGCTTGTACTTTTCATTTGTATGTACTCATGTAACTGCCATACAGACAAGACATAGAACATTTCCAGCCTCCTTATGGAGTATAATGCACTTTACTGTCAATAACCCCTTTCCCCTGGGTCAGCCACCGTTCTTCTGATTTGTAGCATCATAAATTAGTTTTGCCTTTTCTCAAACTTCATATAAATAGAGTCATGCAATATGTATCTAGTATTTTTAATCAAATGATTTTTGTGCTCAAACCTTTTTTTTTTTTTTTTTTTTTTTTTTTTTTGCGGAACGCGGGCCTCTCACTGTTGTGGCCTCTCCCGTTGTGGAGCACAGGCTCCGGACGCGCAGGCCCAGCGGCCATGGCTCACGGGCCCAGCCACTCCGCAGCATGTGGGATCTTCCCGGACTGGGGCATGAACCCACGTCCCCTGCATCGGCAGGCGGACTCTCAACCACTGCGCCACCAGGGATGCCCATGGTCAAACCTTTTTGAGCCATTTAATATTATTGTTTCTGACTCCTTTATACTCAGAACACCACAGCTGATTCAAATCAGATTTAATTTGACTTTTATTTTACATTTTTCATAGGTGAGGTAGTCTTAAAATTTTTAAGGAAATTTCCCATATTCCTTTTCCCACTTTAAAACTTTCAGTGGCTTTCTGCATCATCGACTTGTATAGTGTATGTTATTTATTCCCACAAAATATTCTTTCCTGAGCTCTGTTGTTTCCTGTTCCACATTTCTTTCTACCAGTGCATAGAGATGAAAATGAGATTTCTAAAATCTTATTTCCTGTTTGCCATGCTTATATTTGGCCTGGGGTGAATTAAGGTTGAATTCAGTATCTGCAGTTAATTGTATTAATCTTAATGTTTTCTTTTTCTTCTTTCTGACAGCATGATGAAAGTGGTTCATTGCATGATGTTCAACTCTCCTTGTCATCTAGTCCAGAACCAGAAGATGGTGATCAAATATACAAGGTATGATGACTAGGTAGTCATGCTGAATTTTTCAAAAAAAATTTTTTATTACTAAAATTATAAAGCAATAATAATTAAAACATTTAATAATAAATATATTAAAACCTGCAGCTTTGCTGTCTTGGGTTTTAATCAGATTTCTTTTAACTTTTACTACCTTGTTAAGTTAAAATGATATCACTGTGGTGCTTTAATTTGAGTTTGTTTTATCAGTTGGATAATCATCTGTCCCTGTATTAATATTGGTACAGGATTCTTTTTAAATAAAAATCATTAAATTCTTTTTTTATAATTATGAATAACAGTTTTTAAAATATGACTACCAACAAAAATTAAAACAGTTAATAGGTACTTCTCATATATAATCACAACATTGAAGAAATATTAATGAAAATGACATTAATTTATTTTTTTCATGTTTAATGATATAATTATAGAATGCAGATGCAGGTTAGTGTTTGAAGGTGTATTTCTTTATAGTTCTCATCTTGAGGTCTATTTTTAGTTGAAGAAAGCTCTTTTTGTTTTTTGCATCTACCTGAATCACATATTTACTTCTTAAGCACATACAGGTATTCTTGATGTCTTTCATGTTTCCAAGTAAAATTATTGTTTCCTTTCACATTCTGTTTTCAAGGTATAATAGTCAGTGTGTGCTACTTATCTGTAGTAACAACCTCAAAATATTGGTGGCTTACAATAACAAAAGTTTATTTCTTGTTATTTCTCAATATGTTGCATTTTGGTTGTAGATCAATGGGATTTCACGTGTCCGCTTCATTCTGAGATCCAGGCTGGAGGATCAGCCCTTATCCTGGGACATGTTTTTTGTACCTGAGGGAAAGTAGCATTGGCATAATAACATGTGGATTCTGCTTGGATGTAACATATGTCGTTTCCAAAACAGGTCAAGTGGCCACGCTTGGTATTAGGGGTCAGAGAAGCGTAATTTTCTCATAGGATGTGGAGTGACCTATTGGGAACAAATTTATGTATAAAACACAAAATCAAAAGAATATAGGATAGTAGTCACATCTGGTTATCTAATCTTGGCTTTTCAACACGTTACCTACCTGTTTTCATATAAATTTCTTCCCGTCTCTGGGCTTCCATCCTATTGTTAGTATAATAATAGGTTTGCAGTAGGACATCTCTTTTTAAAAAACTTTTACTTGCATACTCAATTGAGGACCATTGATTTAGATGATTTCTGATTATCTCAGTTTTTTTAAGTTTTGTGACTGATATTTTAAAAGTAAAGTTGACTATTTCCCTGAATTCTTTTTTGTGAAAAGTTTTTTACATGTAAAGAAATTCTTTTTAAAGAAAAAAAGTTTAATTCCAACTTTTTTATAGAATTAATGTGTTCATTTTGTCCATCTTCCTTTACAGTTTGTCTGTTAATTTAATACTACATGATAGACGTATCATGTATTTATTTCTTATCCCCAATGCCTTCCTTTCAGGCAGATCATTCCTAGTCTTTCTTCCTTCTTTCCAAGGTGAGATGGAATAGCTCACACTGTCTCAGCCCAGTACACTAGACTGTCCTTCACTTTCATCAGCAAATCCCCAAGTATGTCATCTTCTTATCCAAGATGGTTTCGCAGTTCAGTTTCAAATGATACAAATATGGTGACTTATACCATTACAATTTTAGGGTCTAAAAGCTACACTGGACCTGCCATGTCTACAGTCTTTCCTTTATCTCAGGACAGCTGTCTCTCCCATTCCCTTGATGAGCTGTTCCAGACATTGGCTACTCTCCTCAGCTACTCTTCTCAACTTCTGCAGGTAGTCTTGTGTTTTTCAAGCAAGATCTTCTGCTGCCTGCCTTCCGACTTAGTCTGTGTCTGTGTCACTCTCAATCACTTTATTCCAGTTGCAGGGAAAAGTGACCACTGTGCTGTGGAAAACCAACCTTTCTTCTCGTGTTCTGGGCTCTTATCTTCTGCTGCAGTTAAAGACCTCCTCTCTCATCTCTCTTCAGTTGCTTTCTCAACTTCCCCATTATCCTCACCTTATAAATTTCTGTATATTCCCTATCCTAAATTCAGTAAATCGAATAAACCTTTTCTTGACTCTCCTTAAACTACCTTTCCAGTTAATGTGGAAACCTGGGAAAATAGACATTTGGCATGGCCTTTGTCATCCTACAAGCTTTATCCCTTGGTTTTTGTGTCACTTCTGTCTGAATTCCCTATATACCCCTTAACATCGACCCCCTCCATTTTCTTTGTAGGTTCCTTTTCTTCTTTAGAATGTAGATTTATATCTTTAGTCCAGTCCTCATCAAACTTTCTACTGTCATGATTTCACATATAACATATATATTGATAACACATAAAATCAGTCTCTCTCATGCTTGGTAATCCAGTTGTCCCACTGGACATTTCCACTGTGTGTCCCACTCACAGGTGGAACACCTCTAACACACCTCTCAAGAGGTGTGTGTACCTCTAGCAATGTATTTAAAACTCAAAAATATTCCTCATTGGGGAATTCCCTGGCGGTCCAGTGGTTAGGACTCAGCGCTTTCACTGCCAGGAGCCCAGGTTCGATCCCTAGTCAGGGATCCCATGAGCTGCATGACGCTGCCAATATACATATATGTATTTCTCTTTGGACATATTTCTCCTCCTTCCGTCTCTGTTTCTATTTACTATGTCATCTAAGCTAGAAATGGAGATGTCACTCTTGACTGCTTCTCTGTGCTCTTCTCTCACATGCAGTGAATTGCCAACATCTCCTTTTCTCCTGTTTCTTCTCCTCCCTATTATCACTCTCTTGGGTCAGGCCCCTGCTCTTACCTGGCATATTACAACATCTTGATAACAAGTTTCCTAGCCTAGTTTTGTTGTTGTCCTTGTCAAGTATATCCTCCAAACAGCTGTCAAAGCCATCTCAAATGCAGATCTATCTGTTACTCCCTGACTAAAGCCATGCTTGATGTTCAGGCCCTCTATGATCTATCTGGCCCTTGCCTAATTTACTGACCACATTGCTCCCCACTGTATACCACAGCCTTCATGTGACAGCATCACTGCCTGTAATTCTCCAAATATGCTATGCTTGTCCCCATCTCTGTATTGTCTTATAGAATCCCTTACCCTAAAATACAGAGCCTGCCACACTTTGTGTCCTTAGAACTTTTTACTTACCCTTTAAGACTCCACTGGAATTACCCATTTCCTGATGTGTTCTCCTTTGCCTGTCTTTATGTGTAAAATCCTTAGAGCAGTGCCTATTCTAAAGTAAGTGCTATATGCATGTCGGCTATAAATGTTATTACCATATTGTGTTTTGATTTCAGCTTTGAGTCCATTTCCTCCAGCACCAGCAGAACCTAGCCATGACTGAATGATGGCTGTGTAGTATTCCATCAAGTTGCTTACTTCATTGTATTTCAGTTGTCCTCTTACAGGACAATTCTAAATTTGTAACTTAAAGAGAATATCTTATTATAGGTTTTCTCGTACTTAGGGTCATTTCTTTGGCATAGGAGTTGGATAACTGAATCAGAGAGTGCAAGTAATTTTTATGACTTTTGTATATACAGGCATACGTTTGTCCAGAAATGTCAGTTATGTCTGATAATGTACCATTTTTTCTGCAGTCTTGTTAATCACATTGAGTATTTCTCCCCCAATTTAATACCTGTAAAACAATACCTTTAATACTTTAATTTGTATTTCTTCAATAAGTCAAATAGAACATTTTTCCAGTTATATGTATATATGTGAGAACTGACTATTTGTCTATTGGGGCCTAGAAATGATCTTATATGTTTGAACAGTCTCCTAATACACTTGAGTTATAAATTCTTTGTCATATTAGCATAGGTTTTCACCAGCTTTTAACTTTAATGTTAATTGTATAGATGCTATAAATTTTTATATAATCAAATATATTTATCATTTCTTAATAGCTTAATTTGCCACTTAGTTTAAAAATATGTCCTTCATGATTTGCAGTCCATCTTTTTTTTTTAGTCTTGATTTATTATTTTTTAAAGTCCCTAAACTCTTTAAATTCAACTGGAAGTCATTTTTTATATATAATAATTAGTCTTTCCCAATTTTGGTATACATAACAGCATTTAAAAAAATATTTCCTTCCCTGTTGTTTCTTCCCCATTGCGATGCTTATTTGATATGTGAAAGCCTTCATAAAATGTCTGTTTCCAATCTCTTGTTAATGAGACTGCAATATTATTTCTTGTTCCCAATATATCTGAAGAAGAGTGTATACTTTGCTCATGACCAACACATTATAATTATTTGCTCACTTACTTTTCTCTCTGGAAAGATGTATCATTCACATATATATTCTACAGTTTATCCCTGAACAACACAGTTTTGAACTGCATGAGTCCACTTACATGCGGATTTTTTTCAATAATGTATACTGTGGTACTACACCGATCTGCAGTTGGTTGAATCCAAGGATGTGAGCCTTGTGGATATGGAGGAACTGTGGATGTCAAGGGCCGACTAAAAGTTATACCCAGATTTTTGACTTTGCAGAGGTTCTGTGCCCCTGACCCCTGCTTTGGTGCCCCTAACCCCTGTGTTGTTCAAGGGTCAACTGTGATTTGCTTGCTTGCATTACTTCATCAGTATATATTTCTGGATAATTGAATAGCAGTAAACAAAATGGGCTAACTATAGGGTAATGATACCTTATACTTGGAAATGTAACTAGATTCCTGCTAACCTTGACAATAGGTTTCTCTTAATACTATTAGGAATTTCTTATAGACTAAGTTGACAGGATATTTACTGTTTGATTTAGGCAGTTCTCATGAAAGTAGCTCATGGAAAAAGAATCTTCCTTGTTATCCTTCAGGCACATTTATCCTTCTGCTGATTTCTGAACCAGCCATGAAATGACTCTGTGCCTTTAATTACACAGTTTTCTCTATTTGTGGCCTTCATTTCCTCTGACAGGCAACTCTTATACATTCCTTGAAATCTAGCTGAGGTTACTGTTTTGTGTGTAATTTATTTTACTACGTGGCCTAGTTCCCAATTTTCTTGTCTGTAAAATGGGGATAATAGTACCTACCTCAGGGTTGCAGTCGGAATCAACTACTTAGATACCTAAAAGGTACTTAGTTCTTGGCACCTGATTAATACTCAATGAATGTTAGCTGTTGCTGCTATTATTGTTCATTGTTTACGTGTCAGACTCCTTAGACTATGAATTCTTAGAAGACCAAAATGGGTTTTTTTTTTAGTGGATTAATAGCTGACATATTTAAGAAGAATTTCCCCCTTAAATAAACAACCATTTCATTACTCAGTCTTCATCATTGATTTAATGCTTCTCGTTAGTGTTTTTAAATACAATTAAATACTTCATGTTAAATTTTTTAAAATATTTCAGAATGAAGATTTATTAAATGAAATAAAACAACTTAAAGATGAAATAAAGAAAAAAGATGAAAAAATCCAACTATTAGAACATCAGCTTGTAAGTATTATAGTGTAGTATGTAAAGTGCAGGCTTTTCAAACTGGGCAACGTGTATATTTTTTTATAAAACTAGCCAGAATTGAAACTGGATTTTATTTTTAGCTTTTAAGATTGCAATATTGTATTAGTTTTAAGTGACATGCACTCTTAAAGTATGTGGTTTAACTTTCAGTCTAAATAATAAGTTTTCAAGGTGAAAAACTCAATCCATTTTCAGTTGCCTCTGTTTTGGGTATTTGAAATTCACCAATTTACATTCATGTTGTTGAGGAACGAAACTGGGTGTTTAGTCTTAGGAATCTGAATGGCTGTCTGTTAGAATGGCTGTTCTAAAAAAAAATGTTTCTTGCCCATGGATGATACTGAGTGATCTCTCAGAGATATGTCTGAATCTTTATAATTTTATAATTGTTATGATATCAAATGTTAGTTCCATATGAAAACTGTATGTGCTGTGTCTTGAGTTTAATTATAATTTGGTTTGTAATAGTAAAAGGCCAGGATAACGAGAATATAATGGCATAACAATCACAAGAGGCCAAAGAAAATCTTTGTTGGAAGTCAAAAAACTTATTTTGACATAGCAAAGCAATGCAGCAATATGCAGGAGTAATCTCACTCAGAATTTAAAGGATATAATATATTGAGCTCTGAGCCATTGGGGTCAGATCAGAATCCACCTTATGAATAAATAGTAAGAACAGATGGATCAGGTGTTATGATTAAGGGTATCAGAAAACTTATGAATCTGAAAAAAGAATATCTGAATATTGCAAATTGAGGGCCTACCAAATATAAGATTAAAAAGGAAAAGAGTAAGACCAGTGTTCGTATTTAAAAACTAAAGACAAAACCCAACCCAACCAGTTTTTAGGGAGAAGAAAAGGTACTTTTAGGAAATTAAGCTTCAAATTTTGCAAAAATCTATTACAGAGCACAAGAAGTTGTATCTAGTGCACTTTAGAAAAAAAAAGGTTATGACCCTCACATTTTATAACTAAATGCATTTTTATTTATATACAAAGATATATTCTCAGACCTTTAGCATATTGAAAAATATGCCACCCAGTTATCTTTGTAAAATTATTTAATAATGCGTCCTAAATGCTTGAGAGAGAAATTTAAAAATAACTCAAGGGCTTCCCTGGTGGCGCAGTGGTTGGGAGTCCGCCTGCCGATGCAGGGGACGCAGGTTCATGCCCCGGTCTAGGAGGATCCCACATGCCGCGGAGCGGCTAGGCCTGTGAGCCATGGCTGCTGAGCCTGTGCGTCCAGAGCCTGTGCTCTGCAGCGGGAGAGGCCACGGCAGTGAGAGGCCCGCGGTACCGCAAAAAAAAAAAAACCTCAAGAATAAGGAAGTAAAGATTAAAATGAATGAGTGGTGAAATGAAAACCATCTTTAGAGAGATTAGGTGGGATAAACTTCCCAGCTACTAACAGGAGAAAACTTAATGCTCATTATTTAATCTTATGTAATTATATATCATTTAATGTTAAAATTTTTAAATTTATTAATTAAAACATGTTTTGAAATAAAAAATTTTTAATTAAAATTTTAAATTACTATTAATTTTTGTAAATATTTAGATTAAATAAAATAGGTTTTAGAAAAGAGTTAAGGGATATGCTGAAGAAGTCAGTAGCACTGAATTGTGTATCTACAAATGGGTATCTAAAATTATTCTTTTTATATACTTAGATAAATTTAAATGTTTGTGAAATGCTTTAAGATAACTAATAGTAGATTAGAATAATTTATCTTGCAAAAGATGAAAGTAAAAAGACATACCAAGGCTGTCTAAAAACAGCAGAAGTAAAGTGACAGAAGTTAGACCAAATGTAATAAATATAATAGTATATGCAAACAGCCTTATCTCATGGAGAGAGCTTTGTTGAGGATTTAAAGCAAAATCCATTAATTGCTTTGTATAAAGGAAATTTAGATAAAGTAAAACAGCACAATAATGCTGAATATAAAAGGTTGGGTGAGGACAATAAAGTTATTCTCATCTACAAAACTGAAGTTGCAGTATTAAAATTAGAAGAAGAAATCTAAGACTGAAAAACATTATGAAAAGAGGTCACTTTATATTGATATATGATTAATAAATAATGAAAGATATAGCTTTTTATGCTGAGAAGTTTTAATAGTGTTCTTTTTAACTTCAGTGTGCCTCTTAAAAACTAAGAAATGTTCTCTTCCTAGCTGAAATATTATCTTTAACCAGTTAGTAGTAATTTTTTAATATTTTCTAATATCCAGTCCATATTCACATTTCTGCAGTTCTAAAAATATCCTGTACATTTGTACATCTAGTTATTCCTTAAGTCTCTTTTACTTTAGAATTACTCTTTTTTTCATTGTACTGACTTACTGAAGAGACTGGGCCAGTTATCCTTAACAATATCTCACCTTACAAATAACTTTTAGAAAGGTTTTAGAAATATCTAAGAGAATCCTAAAGAAAGGAAGAAAAGCAAAGAAAAGTGAAAACATTACTCTTTAGCGATATGTGCTTCGAAATCCTCTGTATTTGATACATTAAACTTAGAAATCGTATTTATCTTGGAAGATCCCATCACCTACCTTTAGTTTAGTTGTGGAACTGGAAAGTCACTTGTTCAAATCAAGAGAATTTAAAGAGATATAAACCACTCAAAGTAGAGCTAGGTAAGAGCATTATTCAGAGTACCAAAATTAAAATTGCCTTTCTCTTTACGGTTTTTTTCTTTCCTTGTATCCCTAATTTGCTCTTCTTAAAAATAGCAAAATGGCATCAGAGGAGCCATGGAATAGGAATTAGATAATTTTTCTTCAGTATTAATTAGTTGAATCTCTTGTCTTCAATATTAATTAGCTGAATGACATTGGCAGTTTCCATCAGTCTCTAGTGCTTTCTTTATCAAAAATGTGAAGTTTTTTCTAGATGATTTCAAAGTCTTTTTCCATTTCTAGCTTTCTATACTTTTTATCTTTTTTCAAAAATAGGCACTCAGCTCTAACCTATGTTTACATGCAAACATCAAGAAAAATGTAGCGACAATATGATGTGTTAAATTCATATTTTGTGTGAAACATACAGATATAAAATCAGATTGCAGTGCTCCAGAAATGAAACTGAAAGGTATAGAGGCATGACTATTTGAACCTTATTCCAAAATGCTGAGAATGCCCATTTATTTTCATCTTAGTGTACTAGTTTAATGATAGTTAATTTAGATGCATTTGTTTATTGAATCCTCAGAATAATCTTATGAAATTATTGTGTAGAATTTTCTTTGTGGAGACATTAGAAAGTGGAATTCAGCTTAAGTAGGTTAGCACTGTAATATATTTGAGAAGCCATGACCAGCCTGAAGCTACATAGACCTGGGTTCAAATCCTGGCTCTGAAACTTAGTAGCCGTCTTCTCTAAGGGAAGTTACTTAATTTCTCTTAAGCCTCTTCTATATGTGAGGATAATAAAAATAATACTGACCATATAGGGTTGTGATAGCTAATTGAACTACATATGTAAACTCTCTAATGCTACAGTTGGCCCATGGGTGCATGATAAATAATAACTCTTATTTGATGATTTGTCCCAAATCACCCAGCTAGTAAATCAGTGCATATCTAATGATGTTTTAAGTTTTAAGTAAAAGTCTAACTAAAAGTGACTTGAAAATAAGAACATTTATAAACTTAAATAACAAGAAAGTATATTGGTCCCACCTGCTTCCATGGTTTCCTAATTGGTCATTTGGGTAATGGCAAAGTTCTAGGGTAGCTTTTTTGGAATCCTCTTGGCTACCGCTTCATGGTCACAGGATGTCTGCCATAGCTCTATGTGTCATATACTCAGTAGTCCCCAAAGATAGGAAAAGCACCTATTTTCTGTAGCATACCAATTTTAAAAATTAAGAGCACTTTCTTAGAAATAACCCAGGCTTGCCTCATGTTTTATTGGCTCGATTTGAGTTCTTTGTCCCTTAAGCACTGAGGAATGGGATTAATTAAATTGGTTCAGACTAATCAGACTCTATCACTGGGTCAAGAGAGGATACATACTTCCCTGAATATGGGACTGCATAGAAGGTGAGCATCTGAACAGAATCTGTCAGCAATAAAGAATGCAGATGGCGAGGGAGTGATTTGAGTAGCTGTTTTCTATCTATTGAAATCACTAAAAACTAGGTTTTCCAAATTGTGGAAAATTCAAATATTTGCTGGTTATTGTTCTTTATATGTTAACACATAGGCCACAGACAGGACATTATTTCTGGAATTGCAGGATAGAACAAGTAATGTGCTTGCATTAAGATAAATGTCTTACAAAAGACCTTAATGTCTATCTTATAAAAGAAATTAAAGATGATACAAACAGATGGAGAGATATACCATGTTCTTGGATTGGAAGAATTGACGTTGTGAAAATGACTCTACTACCCAAGCAATCTACAGATTCAGTGCAATCCCTATCAAACTACCAATGGCATTTTTCACAGAACTAGAACAAAAAATTTCATAATTTGTATGGAAACACAAAAGAGCCTGAATAGCCAAAGCAATCTTGAGAAAGAAAAATGGAGCTGGAGGAATCAGGCTCCCAGACTTCAGATTATACTGCAAAGCTAACAGTAAACAGGACAGTATGGTACTGGCACAAAAACAGAAATATAGATCAGTGGAACAGGATAGAAAGCCCAGAGATAAACCCACGCAGATATGGTCACCTTATCTTTGATAAAGGAGGCAAGAGAAATGGAGAAAAGACAGCCTTTTCAATAAGTGGTGATGGGAAAACTGGACAGCTACATGTAAGAGAATAAATTAGAACACTCCCTAACACCATACACAAAAATAAACTCAAAATGTATTAAAGACCTAAATGTAAGACCAGACAGTATAAAACTCTTAGAGGAAGATATAGGCAGAACACTCTATGACATAAATCACAGCAGGATCCTTTTTGACCCACCTCCTAGAGAAATGGAAATAAAAGCAAAAATAAACAAATGGGACCTAATGAAACTTAAAAGCTTTTGCACAGCAAAGGAAACCATAAACAAGATGAAAAGACAACCCTCAGAATGGGAGAAAATATTTGCAAACGAAGCAACTGACAAAGGATTACCCTCCAAAATATACAAGTAGCTCATGCAGCCCAATATCAAAAAAACAAACAACCCAATCCAAAAATGGGCAGAAGACCTAAACAGACATTTCTCCAAAGAAGATATACAGACTGCCAACAAACACATGAAAGGATGCTCAACATCACTGATCATTAGAGAAACGCAAATCAAAACTACAATGAGGTATCACCTCACACCAGTCAGAGTGGCCATCAAAAAATCTGTAGACAATAAATGCTGGAGAGGGTGTGGAGAAAAGGGAACCCTGTTGCACTGTTGGTGGGAATGTAAATTGAACAGCTACTATGGAGAAGAGTATGGAGGTTCCTTAAAAAACTAAAAATGGAACTGCCATATGACCCAGCAATCCCATTACTGGGCATATACTCTGAGAAAACCATAATTCAAAGTGAGTCATGTACCACAATGTTCATTGCAGCACTATTTATAATAATAGCCAGGACATGGAAGCAACCTAAGTGTCCATCAGCAGAGGAATGGATAAAGAAGATGTGGCACATATATACAATGGAATATTACTCAGCCATAAAAAGAAACAAAATTGTGTTATTTGTAGTGAGGTGGATGGACCTAGAGTCTGTCATACAGAGTGAAGTAAGTCAGAAAGAGAAGAAGAAATACCGTATGCTAACACGTATATATGGAATGTGAAAAGAAAAAAAAAGGTTCTGAAGAACCTAGGGGCACACAGGAATAAAGACACAGACATAGAGAATGGACTTGAGGACACAGGGAGGGGGAAGGGTAAGCTGGGATGAAGTGAGAGAGTGGCATTGACATATATACACTACCAAATGTAAAATAGACAGCTATGGGAAGCAGCCGCATAGCACAGGGAGACCAGCTTGGTGCTTTGTGACCACCTAGAGGGGTGGGATAGAGCGGGTGGGAGGGAGTTTCAAGAGGGAGGGGATATGGGGTTATATGTATACATATAGCTGATTCACTTTGTTATATAGCAGAAACTAACACAACAATGTAAAGCAATTATATCCAATAAAGATGTTTTTAAAAAAAGATAAATGTCTTACATTATCTGTTTCTTCTTTACAAATTCCTATTATATTGAATTCCAGGAGGTCTAGATTGACCTGCATATATATTGAATTTTGTTTCAATGACTGTCCCGTGTTTCAGAATGGGAAATATGTCTATACTAAGAATACAAAGAATGGGAAACAAGTTTGTATTACAGAGATTTTTGTTTTGATTAGATTTTATTTTGATTATGGAAATTGGGATGATCCGATTGCAATTAAGAAAAAATTTGAATATTGGTAAATATTTTAAAAGTAAAAACTTAACCATTTTAGCTTGATGCAATAATCAAGATTTTGTTATGTAGGTTTTCCTACAAGAAAGCATATTTACCTCCGGGGGGGGTTTTAATAAATAATATGCCTATATTCCAACTTCACACCAAGGAGAAATTATCATTATCAATCTTTTCCTTTTTAAAAAATTTGATATTTATTTGAGAGACCATAGTTTACACAATAGGCACATTATTTTGTGTTGTATAAATTACTGAATGATCTGAGTGAAGTCATGTGAAGAGAATTTATTTATGAACTGAGATGGTCGGATGGATCTTGTCAAAGGGCAGAGATCCTTTAAAATATTCCAGTCCAGTAAAGTCAACACATCATTAAAGGGGCTTTTAAATGCGTTGCACGGGTGAAGAGACAACCTTAATTGTGGACTGGTGGTATTTAATAGCCGAGTCCCATCAAAAATGAATTTAAGAAAGAAACTATGCTGCAGTGATTGTAGTACCATAATACTTTAGGGACGTATTTAAAGTTTTGCTATTATATTCTTTATATACTGTATATTGCTGTATATGTCCTACATCTATATACACATATATTTATATACATAAAATCATAGGTAGTGTGTTCTATGGGCAGTATAAGAGATTGCCAACGGTAATTTCGACTACTCAAAATTTTGCCTTGCCGGGTGAATCTAAAATCCAGTCTAAGAGAGACCCTAATTACTTTGTTTGTATGTATATGTGTATATATAGAATTACCAATGTAAAAATTTATGTTTTTGTTCAGGCAACTCGGTGTAACTGCCATCAAAAATCTAAAGAGGAAAAATGCACATATGCTGATAAATATACCCAAACACCCTGGAGAAGATTTCCTGTAAGTAACACATACTCTTATCCTCTTTTCTTGTCATTTACTATTTTGATGTTTTGTTCTACTCTTTTTACTATAATAATTTTGAATCTGCCTTGGCTGTCAGTTTTTTTTTAAGGTAAGTGGATTTTTGTTGTTCTTAGGTGTTTCTGTGCTTTCTGAAGCTTCTCTTCTGTGTCTTATATGAATGAATGTGCACTTAACAGCTTTCCATTCTGCACACCGTAGGTCATTTTATTTGAGTGTCTAGTCTCTCTCTTATTGCATGTATTTATGAGAGTAGTAGTTCCCCATGCCCTACAAGAAAAAGAAGTCCAAAATGCAGTCCTCCCTCTTTAGCAGCATATGACTCTGAAAATATATTATGTAGCCTGTTCTTTTTATTTGTTGAGACTTTTCAAATATATTCTGTTATTATAATTACTCAAATAAATATTGAGGCTATTAGGAAGTATAAATGCATTAAGATACAGACAGTAAAGGTTATGTTTTGGGCATAGTTAGGGTAGGGAATGGCTTCTTCTAAACAGTAGAAAATAACCATGCATTCTGTGCTTCTTCATTGTTTTTCAAAAATACTACATCTCAAAACATGTTTAGTGTTAAAAATACACTTTCTGAACTCAGCTCAGGATATGCCTGAGCCAGAGAGTCATCATGGCTATCAGTCATTGTTATCCTATTGTATGGTGCCAAGTAATAGGTATTTCATGGTAAGTGAATGCCTGATAAGCCAGCCTTGCTCTTCTTTTGCCTTATTTTAAGCAGTGGAATCCTCGTTAACACAAATGAACAGGGAATTATAATGGTTAGTGTAATCAACAATCTGCTTTTTTTAAACTTAGCTATAGGCCTTTAAAGTTTATAAGATACTTGTTTCTTTTCATCTAATAAGTAGTTATTTTTTGTATGCTTTGTATAAAGTACAAAGCTAATAATTAATTTGTTCAACAAAAGTTTGGTGAGCCCCTCCCATCTCAGTTATTAGCCTCTTGAAGTAGAAGTGGGGAATTGGGAAAGAAAATATACAGACAAATAAGGATTCTTCCATTAACAGGTGCTTATTAAAGGAACTGACGGTGTGATATAGTTAAAGTGTAGAAAGTGCTGAAAGTTTCAAAGGATTGGGAAAGTCTAGGTGGAAGAATCAAGCTTGGTGAAAAGGGTGAAGGTAGTGGTTGAATCATAGAAAGCAAAAGATGTCAGTAGACAGAGACGAGTTCCAGAATTGAGAATGAGAGACTATTCTACATCAGCACTCTTCCATAGAGTTTCCTTGAGGTCCAGTGCAGTAACCACTAGCTACATGTGACTGTTGAATACTTGAAAATGTGGCTAGTGTGACTGCAGAAGATAACTGTAAATAATATTTAATTGTAATTAAATGTAAATAGCCACATATGACTAGTGGATACCATATTGGACAAAGCATCTCTAGAGTTGATGAAGTAGACTTAGATGGATTATAGGAAAGCCACCTGGAACAATAAGGGGAAGTCAGTGAAGGCAATTTTTGGGAGAAATGAAGGAAAATAAAAAAGACAGAGTTCATATTTAGGTAGTGGAAATAAAGAGAGAAAGAAGGTAAAAATGAGTTGTAGGAGAAGATGGTACCTTCAGAAGAAGAATGGATAAGTCAAATTCTGACCAAATGTTCTCATCTGAGGGACAGAATGCCCAGATAAAATAGTGAAATTGGTAACATGGAAAGAAGAAGAAAAACGTGGAAGGTGCCTAATCATTCATATAAGAATACTTGAAGAGACTAGGCATATGCAGGAAAATGGTGATTATATGAGAAATAAGGATTCACTTTAAATATATAAACTTATAAGACTTTATTTTAAACATAGTATGACATTGTTGATCCATGTACAAGCATGTTCTTATAAATAATATTATCTTGGACTGAATTTTAAGTTTTTAAAATGTATTTCCAATATCGTTTTTAAAGCATTTAACATCAGTATTTGAAGATTTGAATAGTTATTTTGCACATTAAGTAAATTGTAAATTTTCATGATAGGTACTTTTATAGAACATTTGTTTGAACATCTTAAATTAACTAGAGAAGACAAAATACCAGAATACATTTCTAGACTCACACCATCAAAGCTTATTATTTATGCCCTTGAATCTCAAAGAAGGGATTGCAAGATGGACCCAAAGGATTCACATTATGACCCAACCTGGATTACTCTGAAAATTGAGTGTAGGAATAAACAGTTTTATTGGTATCAATGGGAAAGTTGCCGATCAGTTAAAACTCAGATTGTGCACAATTTGACCTGATACTAGTTTCCTCTCATATTTTAAGAACTAACTCTTATTATATATAGCAAAGGAGTTAAGAAAGATGCTTTTATATAAAATTTAAATGCTCTGTTGGAATTAGTTTCTAGTACTGAATCACAGATTAATCCACTTTATAGCATATTTAATAGATATGAATAAAATTTATATAAATTCAAGAATTGGAATATCATCAGCATTATTTGCAATCCTTTGTGCTTAGAATTAGGTTCGCATGACTCAGATTTATTGGATCATACATATATTTCAAAATGTCATAGTCAACTATGTTCCTATTGTAGCTATTTATAAAATAGAAAATATTGAATCAGGAAAATACATCACAGACATATCACACACACAAAAATCAATTGTTTATAATTCCCAAAGGAGAAGGAATTTACTTAGTCCTACCAGTCATGATGTATGTGCTAGCAAAGAACTTTGCTCCTTTTTTTCCCCTTGCCTGGGAGATAAGATGAAATGTTAAATATAAGGAACAGTATAACCCAAAGATTTGTCTCAAGTACTCTTTCCTAAGTCCTCTTTCTTTTAGACCACATGCCTTTCTGATTTGGAAGTGGGCAGTATTATTGGTTAATTTTTATGTAAGATTAATGTCCTGATTTTAAACTTAGATGTGCCATTTTCTCCCAATTAGAGAGTCGTTACATTACTATTTATATAAATTTCCAAAGGGAATTAAGGGATTTATTTCTTTGCTAAGCTTTTTATTTATATTCACTATTACTTATATTTAAAATATGCCACTAGAAGTATTTTAAGTGAAATATCTATATCCTTTGGTGTATAAACATGTAATATTTAATGGTCATGCAATAATGTCTAATCAATATTAGACATTGAACATTGAGTATGACCTATGTTTCAGTGAGCTAAATGCTGATAGGAACCATCTTTGTACTGAGACATCACACTTTAGTATGCATGTGAGTATGACAACACACCAAGAATTCTATTATGTGTGTCTTTTACACTGTAGTTTATGAGCAATAGCACCTGAAACCAATAACTGGAAAATGGAATTGTTTTTCAAGGCTAGGGACAAATGAAATATAGATATTAGAGCAGCTGAGTGATTTATCTGGTCATAAATTTAAGGGTATGTAAATTCGTATCCTCTAATACCAAATACCAGAACTGAAGTAGGCATTTTTGGAACTTTGTTTAAAATATCCACAGAAAGGGACTTCCCTGGTGGCACAGTGGTTAAGAATCTGGCTGCCAATGCAGGGGACACGGGTTCGAGCCCTGGTCAGGGAAGATCCCACATGCCGTGGAGCAACTAAGCCCGTGTGCCACAACTACTGAGCCTGCACTTTAGAGCCCGTGAACCACAACTACTGAGCCTGTGTGCCATAACTACTGAAGCCTGCGCACCTAGATCCCGGGCTCTGCAACAAAAGAAGCCACCGCAATGAGAAGCCCGCACACTGCAATGAAGAGTAGCCCCCGCTCGCCGCAACTAGAAAAAGCCCTCATGCAGCAACAAAGACCCAACGCAGTCAAAAATAAATAAATAAATAATAAATAAATTTTTTAAAAATAATAAAATAAATGTCCACTGAAAGAAACAAAGTTTGTGTGCACAGTAGTTAGAAAACAAAGGGCAGCACCAAAGTTTTCCACTGCTGGTATCCATTTCATGTGTGTAATGTAGGGTTTAACTTACTAACTTAACACAGTGAGGGTGTAGGCAGGACATAGAGAGATTTTACTGTTAGAATTTAATGTTAGATAGCAGTCAGTGAGAAATGGATGATCCTGTTAGGTTTCCAAGAGGCAGCATGATCAAATTAGTCTTTTAGAAGAAATTAATCAGTTTCCATAAGAGGTAATAAAAGTTGCTCCTCTTTTAGTTTATGCTAGCAGACTGCTCACTTATTAGGCCTTTATTTGTTGGAGCATTCTAACTTCTCTTGTTCTTAGGTAATTACAAAAACATTTTTACAGATGTTTTAGAAAATTACTATTTTTTAAATGTCAGATGTAACTAAATTTTTTTCCTAGAGAATGTCTCTTTAGTATTTTGCTCAGAGGGTTCTTTCAAAAAGTTACATTGATATTTCTGATATAGCAGAAAATAATACCATTTCTCTTACCTAGTCCTAAAATTTCTAAGCAAATATAACTATCTTGATCACTCAGAGCGGTGAAGTGTCAATGTACCTTCAGCCAAAGCCCACCAGGAATATATCTGTAAAACAAGTTGGGTGGATTACTTGTTGCAGCCAAGGAGAACACACATCGTTAAAAATGATATCAAGATTGTATCAGAAAGAACCTTTTATAGGATTTGAGCTTTTCTTGGATGATTTGAGGGAGGGTCTAAGGAATCGTGTTTGCTCACATTGGATACTATCAGAAGGTAGAAAAGTCTAGAGTACTTTCTGGATGGCACAGTGTGACCTTGTCTTTATCTGTACTTAGGCAAAATTATGAAGTGACCTTATTTTGTTTCATGTTGCCATGGTCTCAGAGTAACCATGGTATTCTGTGAGATTGTATATGAGATCACTGGGCACTAGGGGCTGCTTGTTATCTTTCACAGAAGGAATACCTGGGCATGGATTAAATAAAAATTTACCAACCAGATGAAATTTCTTTTATGATTGTAACTCTGTAACGTTTGGATTGTTACCTCTCTGTTTTTTTAAAATCATTTACTGTACTTTGCCATGTTTTAGTGT